TTCAATCGATCCCTGGTCGGGAGAGTGTGGGAAGCAACCAATGATGTTTCTCTCTCATCTCTCATCTCTCTCTCTCTCTCTCTCTCTTCTCTCTCTTTCTGAAATCAAAAAGCAAATCCTCATCTGAGGATTTAAAAAAATATGTAAAGTCATGGCTGGGGTGGCGATGTTGAAACTAAAATTGTGAGGTTGCAAAAACTCAGAGGAAGTTTGGAGGGAGAGAGATGGGAATGGTGTATGCAATGCAGGGAGAAGCCACAAAGCAGCAAGACAGAGAAGAGAATCCACTAAGCTGCCTCTGTTCCTGCCCTCTCCCAGCTTTTTCATTTGCTCTGTGTGCCAGGAGGTTTCTTACTTTCCTCAGAGTAACAGTCCTTTCACAAACACTCATCTTTTCTACATGGGTTAGTCTGAGTGTGTACCTGCAACAAATAATATAAAACAGAACAATGAAACACAGGACTGCCAGAGGTCTGAAGGAAAAAGTAGTCAAGTTCCAAAATGTGGGAAAGATTTATTCTGGAACTTCACAGATGAGTAAGGTTGACAGTAATTGTTTTTCGAAAAATTCTAAATTAGACACTAAAAATAATTTGTCAGCAATTAGCAGAGAAAGGGGTGATTATAATAAATGGCCATGCTTATCTGTGGAGAAGCCATGCTAAAATAACACATTTCTCTTTGTGACGGTGTCACTAGAGTGGTAGACTAAGGGCTTCATGGCCACTCCTTCACATCACCTTTGAGGGGGAAAGAAAATTAGGAAAGAGTGTAAAGATAGAGGTGTGTAGTATTACAGCTAAACGCATCAGCCTGGAGCCACAGAACCTGCTAGAAAGACTAGCTTTGCCCCTTATAATCTTTGTGATGGTGGATAACCTGCATTTACCTCAATTGTCTCACCTGTCAGATGGGTATATTTCCAACATTAGAGGGCTGGTGTCTAATTACCTAGCAAATAATAAGTGCTCAATAAAGATCAGCTGCTATTATTACCAAGTTGTTTAAATGGTGCTATTGTAAAAGTGTTCAATAGTAGATAATATTAACTAAAGAAACCTATCATTTTGGAGTATTTGAAATAAGCATCATCCAATGGCCAAAGAATCTATGTGCAAATGAATAATGCTCTACAGACCAGAGTATAAGGATTTAGAGGAGTCATGAAGTGATGGAATTCTCAAGCAAAACAGCAAAATATAACTTACTAAGAGTAATATCCTGGGGATGGCTATAAAGCCATTACAATTCATGTAAAAGTGACCTGGAGATTATAGGTCTTACTATAGTCCAACATTATGACCTGACTGACGATAAACTCATTTAACCTCAGCCTACAACACCAGACGTATGTGAACCAGATGACACAGTCCCAGCATACCTGGTCCTGAATAGGTTAGTTGGAGTGTTGCATCCAATCCTGGGCCACATTTTGAGAGACAGTGACATACAAGAGAACAGGCAAAGGAAGGTGTCCCATGAGAATTTGTCACTTGAGGACCAGTTAGGGAAATAAAGGATAAGGATTGGAGAAAAGAGGCCAAGACTTAATGATTTTCTAGACAGAACTCAGACATTGAATTCATGGACTTAGACTTCTACATTTACTCTCTCCCCTTCACGCCCCTTCACACTACAGCCTTGTTCCTGCTCCCACCACCCCTCAAACTGGGCTCTGCCCACAGTCATGCTGGTCTCCAAAGGACACTGCTCAACCCTGACCTTTCTTGACCCCTTGGGAGAATCTCACCTTATTTATCCCTGTCACATTCTATTATACTCTCTTCCCTCAGCTTCCATAGCATGATAATCTCCTAGTTTTCTTCTTTTCTTTCCTTCCTGTTGATCTATAACATGTGCTCTGGCCTCCCTGTACATCTCTGTGATGATTTCTCCCAAATCCATCACTTCTGTTTGTATAGTCAGTCACCTGTAACAAATCTCCTCTTCCACATGGAGACTCAGACTCAAAGCAAAAATGACAAAGTGAAATCAAATTGTAAAATATAGGAATAATTCTTAAAGTTAGCTTTCCATAACTGTATAAGCAATATGGTGTTACTCCTTTAAACAAATGACCCTTCCTCCCACTGAGTATTTTATTTCCAAAGCTCAATCATTTTGTTTTGCCCACAAGACGAAATATTGAAGGATGGAGTAGATTCCCAGTAGGCTCCTTAGGTGCCCATACCCCTCAGCAAAGTTGGGCACAATGTCCTACCAGCACCTAATCAAGTCCTTTCAGAGTTTCAGTTTTATTAATTCAACATAACGCAATGCTGGCTGTAGTAATGGTCGCTCAATTTAGACTTGGCTAAGTCACTTGAAATAATAACTACAAGTTATTAAAATAATGAAAATAGATTTTGTGTTTGTGGTTCTGCTCTCCTTAAATGGTTATTTGTGCTTTTACATTTCCCTCCTGGACCAGCCTCTGCAGAGATCACTCTTTCTTTAAGCCCCTTGGCTTAAAGAAATGGAAAAAAGTCACCTCCCTCTGGCAACAGCATTATTCTTTGGAAGCCGTTGCTGAACTTCTGGTTCTCGTTCTGTATTTTTGCTGCTTTCACCATCCATGTTGCACAAGATAGATGGCATGCCTGTAACACCTTCTATGAAGGGCCTCTCATGAGCTGCTCTGCAGTTACTGGAACAAATAATTTTTATTTGACAGTTTTCAAATGCCTCCAAAAATTATCTGATGGGCCTTGTTACCATGCCCTCCTCAAGTAAGTCCAGCGAGATGGAGTCCAGTCCCTGGAGAGGTTTCCTCTCATTTCCTCCCCACTCTTTCTGCCTAAACCTCCTTCAAAGTCCAGTTCCGAGCTTCCTCCTCTCTGCATTATCACATTATGCTTTCTCACACCACAACATGGCGCCTAGAATACTGCAGCACACACAGCGCTCTGCAAGGCCATCAGTTCTATTCTGGTTTGTGCCCAAGGCGATAGGATTGCATTTACTATGTAGGGCTTATACCAAAAGGCCAGTTTGGAATTCAGTTATTTCTCACTAATTAATAGGCGGATCCTAAAATATTTCTGTGATACTCGATTTAACCTTAACTTACTGAGATCCTGTAAGATTCCCAACTCTCTAATCAGTGTCATTAGGCGGATCCTAAAATATTTCTGTGATACTCGATTTAACCTTAACTTACTGAGATCCTGTAAGATTCCCAACTCTCTAATCAGTGTCATTAGGCGGATCCTAAAATATTTCTGTGATACTCGATTTAACCTTAACTTACTGAGATCCTGTAATATTCCCAACTCTCTAATCAGTGCCTGGGTCACAAAGTGAGTAGAAGACGGCTCCTACCTTCACAAAGCTCAGAGTTCCAGGGGCATGAGGACACAGTCACAACCAGAAAAATATAATATGATAAACTACTGCGCTTGTGGTACGATAAAGGGCTTTAACATCAACTTTTCATTTAATTTTTTAAAGAATGATCAAGATCTTGCTACATAAAGAAAAAAAAGAGGCTACTCCTGATAAATGGAATGAGACAAGCACACCATTATTAAGTGTGTAAAGACTAATCACTAGGTCAAGGAAAGGGGACTTTAAAACCATTGTCAAGTTCGTGCTTATAAGTTTGTTTTATGTTGTGTCACATTTTGAATACCACTATGGTTAGTATTTCTATAATATTGTTTTCTAAATATAAAGCAAGGTTTTCTTTACCCTATAAAATTATCCCTCAGAAACAAGGTAATCCTTATTATAGAGCCTCAGAAAGCCTCTCAGAGTACAGAAAGTTTCTCTTACGTGTTTTGAAAAAGAAATGTGCTATTTGGAAAAGATATGTTAACCTCAATCAGTGATACTTTTTTTAAAGAATTGGTAAAAAGAGAGTTAAACTTTTTTTTACGAGGATAAAGTATTTTTTTCCTGAGAATATGCCCTCAACATTACAAATACTGGATGTTGGAAGTCTTTACAAGCAAGGCTTCTAAAAATCATTGATCACCTTAAAAAATAAACACTACCTCATCGCCTTGTGGACAGGTGGGATGGGGGAATGCCCTAATGTTATCAGAGTTGGTACTTCACTTCAGAAAAGATTCCTAGTGAAAACATTATAGTGTGGATTCAAAAGTATTATATATTAACAATATAAATGGATATAAAGTTGATGTGTTAGATGACTCAAAAGTGATTTCATTAAAGATGAAAACTAGATGTCAAAACATATGTAAATTGTTTGAGTAAAATTGCTTTATGAAGTGTGAGAGTAGAAATCAATATTTCTAAATTAACATATTAGCTCATAATTTTATATATGAATGCATAATTACATTAATAAGTAGCTGCCTAACTTTACAATCTGTAGCCCTAAAAAGGTTGCATATAAATATATAAAAATGTTGTAAATAAAATATCATAAAAATAGCAGATTACCTCATATTTTGGGTTCCCTAATTTTCAAGCAATTTTTATTGTATAGCATTGTACCATATATGGAGAGTTGAATAAGTGTCACTGGTGGTCATTATTACAACAAATAGAAACTTCTGTTTTACAAAAAGAAAAGCCAACTAAGTGAGCATAAATTTAAATAAAAACAAAAATCTAAATCATGATTCTTAATTTCAGGCAAATTAAGTATTAAATAAAGCTGTGACACCCAACATGTTTCTGATCTCTTGTTTATAGAGAACAAACATAAAAACAACCAACCGAAAATAGAAGTTATTCTTCCCCTTCTGCATTATTTAATTAACATGAGGTCGGTCAGTCTGAAAGTTACAATGAAGCTAAAAACATAGATAGCTCTTTGTGCATATAATTTAAAAGCTTAAATATCTTTAATATTACAATGATGCAGCAAAAGAGGCATGAAATATTCCTGCTCAAACACCATGGCTAGTGGTGTATTAAAGATGTGTAAGTCAGGGTTAGGGATTCGGTTCTTCAAGGCATGATGCCTTCTAGTTTGGCTTGCCTAACTTTATTTGAAAATACAGTCATGTACTTAACTTCAGAATACATACCTCTAAATAGTCATGGGAGCAGTTTAGGTGATTTTCCAATTCAAATTCTAAAAATGTGTAATTCACAGTGTTGCCAGTTGTTGCTTGGATGGTCCAGTTGCAACGCTGATTGTCAGAATAGGGATTTGGATAATGTATACTCTCTAGGATGCCATAGGTTCGATTCACAATCATCACGTTCTCACAGGCTAGAAAAAATAATCATGATTGTTAAGAACCACCATCAAATATGTCAAAATTACTCCAAGATGTGTGTGATATTGCCTTTAAAATGTGTGTGTGTGTGTA